CTGCGTTCAAATTACCGTCGATACGAACTAGAGATGTGCGTGTCGTGTACCCAATGGCTGCCCATACCATCACACCAGGTGCAGGGCTCCTATGCTGATATCGAATGCAAGCAGGTGACGAGCGGTCTCCTCGGAGCCTCCAGACACGTATACGTCCATCAGAATGCTGCGCGCAGAACCGGGACTTGTCTGAAAAGACGACATTGTGCCACTCCTGTATCCAGCTTTGTCGTTGGGTGCACCAGAGTCGCCGTCTCTCTCTATGCTGCATTGTCAAGGGAAGCCGAAGTAATGGTCGCCGTGCTGACAGTCCACGCTGCTGCAAACGTCGTCACACCATACGAGCAGATACTGGACGTGCTGCAAACAAGCTCATTTCCTGACTAATGGTCCGTGATGTGGTTGTACAGTTTTGCATGGCCGACCTCACAATATGTCTATCCTCTCGGGCATTAGTCATGGGAGGGCGTTGAGATCCTGCATGCTGTTCAGTAAGACCCTCAGCAATCCATCGATTCCATATTCGCATGACAGTGGATAAATTTTGACCAGTGCGAGTGGCAATATTACAGAATGATAATCCACACTCTCGATAGGCAACGATCCTGCCACTATCGAATTCCGATACTTGCTGGTAAGCATTTCTTCTTCTTATTCGTGGCATAACACTATATTCTGATGAAACCCCGACCTTACAAAGTGATTTCCGAATGAAAAATCCACTGCACAACTTTTCTTTTATGCAGTGCTTCAGATGTCGTTTGTCCCTTCTGCGTCGTCTAAATACGCTGAAATACTAATCATTTGCATATTCCAACCTCTTCTTCCTTTCATATGATTTTGACGTTCGTACGATCAGTCCTTCTTGGTGTTGCAATTTTAATGACCAGCAGTGTATTTTTCTTAATGAATATTCACAATCATTTTCATAAAAATAATAAACTTAAACACAATTCTATTACTTTTTTTTATAGTTACATTAATGATACAATTAAAATTTTGAATTCAGAAAAAACATTGTAAAATCCAAAATAAGGGAAAAGGTCTATTATGAGAACAACTACTGGAATATTGGCTGTTTGAATATTTTTTTCATTTTTGACGCTTTCTACTCTGAGAGAACTAGTAAAATTTGTTTCCATGCCCATCATAGGTTCAGCAAGACCTACATTGTAGCAGCCAATTGGTAAGGGGTAGACCCAACACACTTGATAGATGTATGAAATAAAAAACTCACAATAGCATTTTGTTTAACTCAATAACTGTCAACATCAGAAATGGAACATTGCAAATTGATTTTGCATATGTATAGCTAAAATATGTCTTAGTGCAAAAAAACTCATACAGAGTGTAAAAATTCCAAAATCTACAGTTGCAAAAGTCTTGAAAAACTTCAAAGAACATTCCACTATTAAAAGGAAGTGCAGTGGTGGTAGTGGTAAAGCAGAGAATTTCTAATCCTAACAAAGAACAGAAGGTTTGGCAGTTGTTCAAAGAAAATCCAAACCTTTCTTTACAAGATGTGCCAAATGAAAGTAAAAATGTCCCAAAGCTACACTCAAAAAGAAAATTACAAGCAGGATTGAGGAGTTACAAAGAACAGACCATTCCAGATCAAGATGCAAAACAAAATTTAGTGTTGAAATATAAATCACACAAGTTGCATCACAGTTTGTTGACTGAGTATGGTGTGTTTTGATAGATGATGAAATGTATTGTTTTTCCAACTTCAAAAGTCTTGCTGCTCAAAATTTCTCTAGCTCTTTTAGTCATCAAGATGCTCCCTGTACTGTAAGGTAAAGAAAAAGTCTAAGTTCCCTAAGAAGCTCATAGTGTGACAGACTATCTGTTGTGGTTGATGAGCAGACCATTCATCCTTACTAGGGCAATAAATGCAAACATTTTCATAAAAACATGCTTTAAATAATGTCTTCCTGCCTTTTTTGAAGATACACACTGCTAAGCCACTGTTCTGGCCATACTCACAACTTGTCACAATTCTAATACCATGTTCCAAAAGATTACAATCTGCTAAACACACCAGATCTGATCAACTGAACTGTATATTTGTCAATTGTTAAACAAATTTTTGAAAAACAAGCAAAGTTGTTCAAAATAAAGAAAGTTTTTAATATAAATAGATTTGAGTAGCAAATAAAGTAACTAATGAGCTTTTGCATAAGCTATGACTAATCTTTGTCATAAAGTCCATTCATCAAAGTACAATGTCACTTAAGGGGATTACTTCATAATTATAAAATGTTCACAAAGTGCTATCTTAAAGTATTTAAGGTTAATTTTGTATCTCCTGTTGGTTTTTTATTTGTGGAAATTTTCAGTGTCCCAATTTTGACATGGTTATCCTTTATAATGTATTTTTACCTTGGGGGAAAAACTATGAATTAAATAGTCATTTAAAAGATCATGAAAAGCTGTACATTATCTTTCATTTTTGTAATTCTACATCTCCCTGTTGTCAAATGTGGTTGTGGTAGATTTGACATTGGGAGTGCAGTGCAAGTTTATGTTTACAACTTTGGTTCACATTTTTCAGACAGTACTTTTGTGATGGTCCGAATTTTAGCAAAGGTCGATTGTTGATGTCATCATACTTGTACAATAATTGTTGTCATCTACTACCCGAGAGAATCTCCACTTACACTTTCTCAACGGCAAAAATGACGCATTCCCATAACCTGCTGACCTCTTGGCCAGGTGATATCGTGCTTATAGCATAATTAACGGCCGAAGAGTCAGTTGCTGTTTAGTTCTTCCTGAGATAAGAAGTCACCATTTAGTTTTCCCAAGATAAGAAATCGCCGGCTGATCCCGAAGGATAGTCGTCATCAGAGCCTCTAATCTGTTAGCCAGTTCAGGACCTCCTTAACAGATACCTTAGCCATTCTCTGTACAAAGACTCCTCCAGCAATGGATATCACCTATCCCACTAACGGATATTGCCCAATCTCCAAGTTGTCTATTTTCGAACTGTCCGCACAACAACCCTACCAAAGACAAACTTTTGCAGTTAGAACGTGACAACCAGATCCTTCAACTAAAGGTATTTATCGCCACGTGAACCTCGTAAACTCTCTCCCTCTCGTGAACACCTATCGTATATAGGTCAGTTATTTCGATATAGTACAATGTATATATCATCTAATTCTTTTTCCTTTACAAATAAACGATTGTTTAGTTAACCTAGTCCCTGCTTGCTAACTCATGGTCTCCATCCCGAATCTGATTGTTCATTCACACAACTGCTTGTGTGACCTATTTTCTAATCAAACTGCCATCATGGCTTCTGTGTCAAGTGGGACATGGTGATGTCATTCCTGACAAGGTGCCGATCCTCTGGTCACATTTTATACAACTGATCAGCTGATCTATGTTTTTTCTTTCCATCCATTTTTTGTAAACAGCTGCCTTGAAAATTGCTCAAAAATCCTTAAATGGCCTATTCTGGCAAATTTGCAGGGTTGTCATCTTTTTTGACAAAATTGATGTTTCCTTGTCACAGGTAATTCAGTTGACATAGTGGGAAATTGCTTGATCAGGCCAGAAGATATACATTCATTGAGAATAGTTCTTTTAAATGTAAGGAATCAGGCAATGTCATATATATTCATTTAAATATCACTGGACATTGATAGTAAAACTTGATTTTCTGATTAGGGCTTGACTCAATCTTTTTGGTCTCAGTAAAATCCAAAGCAAACTTCGCCCTCAAATTTCATTTTCTTGGGAAACTTTATATCGGCAGGTGTAGAAGAGATATCACATAGTTTAAATGAAAACTTTCCAGATAACTTTTGTAACAACCTTCTGCACTTTGTCTTTACTAGTGAACTTTGCATGTCTATTCTGTCTGGAATTACCTGGTTCTTTTGATATTAAATATGTATTTTTGTTTTCAATACTTCATGGAGCCAACTATATGAAATTTTTAGTTCCAGGGCTTCAGATTGGATTGAAACCTTGCTACTGTCTTTAAAGCTTCTTTTCAATCCTTCCAACTTGGCTTACATTAGAATTTTTCTTTTCTATCAGACTCCTTTCTTCTCTGTGGTGGTAATCCACTCTTGAAACATTGGAGAATGCAATACATAGCCCATTTTGATTTTCCTTCATTTTGAAAATAGTTTACAGTAAACTTTCTTTCTAATGTTTTGTTTTATGTGTAAAAGTTGTACATTCTTAGGCATAAAGCATATACTTTTACTACCATTTTGAAAAAAGCAGAAAATCAAATGCAGAAAAAGATTCCAGAACATTCTACAGCATTTCATGCACTTTCAAATTATAGCATGTGCAAAATAATTAAAAATTATTGGCTGTTAGCTAATAATTTTTGATTATTTTGCACATGCTATAATTTGGTGCAATATATAAGAATATTAGCATTTCCTAAAATTATATTTTTGATCTTTTTCTCATAAATTAAAATTTATAAATCTTGTTAAGATTCATTAACTTGAAAAATGATTTATTATTATTATTATTATTATTATTATTAATTTTTATTTTATAGTGTAAATTATTTACAGTATTTTGCATTATAATTCTTTCATTTGAGTATGAATATTTCTTGAAATTATGCATTTAAATTTTAAATAATACACAATAGAATGAAAAAATTATCACATCAATTAAAAATTAATTATTTCTTTTATATTCAATCTTTAATTTTTATCAAATGAAGCAAATTTTACGTAATCATTCAAATTATTGAGTTTCCCTTTCTTCAATATTTTGTAGTTTAATAAATTCATTTATTTATTATTTAAGGTAATATATATAACTAACTTAATAATTAATCATTATTTTTAAATTTTGCTTTAATATATATCATGCTATTTAATTATTTTTATGCACATTTGTTGTTATAGAAATAAATAACATTAATTTTTAAAAACATATAAAAAGTTTAATATATTAATTCATTACCATCATTGTAACATATGACTATAATAAATTAAAACATATATAAATTTAAATACCTCTCCTCTTGGATATCTATAATGAAATTTATCTTGGTCTCTAGCAACAAATTCTTTAGGATATTTTCGTTTGATTTCTTCATATGTCATTTCTTCACAAATACCCTGAATTTAAGGATTTATTTTATAAAGCTTTTATTTATCCTGCTATGAACAAAAACTTTTAAAATAATAATGATATTATACATTTGAATTAAGCTTTTCCAAATTTAAAATCTAGAACTTATTGCTAACTATACAAGTTTATTTAGTAATGTTATTTTTGAATCACAATAATAAAATATTAATTAAATTTAATAACTTTCTGATTATATTAAAGAAATATGAATTTAAGAGTTAAATATTGAAATATTTCATATTTACAAGACATCTTTCGAAGTTTTAATCTTGATTTTCCATGTTTGAGATTTATTAATAAATAAAATCAAATTTAACAGCAATGCAAATTACTATTAAATAATAATATAAACAATAACAGCCTTTAATATAGATTTTTAAGTGATAATAAATTTTGTGATATCATTCAATACAGTGGAAGAAAGATTTTTACAATATTAATAAAGATAAAACATTCTTTGAATGTCAAGTATTTAAAAAATAATTTCTAAGACTAACAGCAAAAAACCTTTCTCACTAATTTCTAGCCTTATTAACTGGAGTACAAACGTTTTCGGCCTTCTTAATAGGCCTTCCTCGGGTACACTGTGGAGCGTCAGTTAGAAGAAGTTTAAATGCTGCCAATGTTTACCCAGGTGTCGTCTTACCC